AGAGTTGGAAAGCGACCCCACCATGGGGATGCCAAGGGATGGCATAATTCCAAAATATAGCTTTGAAAAAACTTTTGAAATAAGTATAACGGACAGAGAGGCATGGAAGGAAGGACCTCCTGTCAATGCAGACATTGCTGTCTATACGGACGGCTCCAAAACTGAGAAAGGATCAGGAGCTGGTATTTATGGGACCAAGCCAAAGACAAGAATCTCACTGAGCTCAGGCAAATACGCTACGGTGTTTCAGGCAGAAATTATTGCAATACATCATTGCGTGAAAGAATTGATAAGGCAAGAGTTCAAGGGCAAAACCATTGCAATCTATTCAGATAGCCAGGCGGCAATCAAAGCAGTCAACTCTATGCAAGTTAACTCAAAACTAGTATGGGACTGCTTAGAAAACCTAAATGCACTGGGCAGTCAGAACAGATTGACTCTAGCATGGGTACCAGCACATACAGAGTACGAGGGCAATGAAGAGGCAGACTCACTTGCCCGAGCAGGAGCAAACAAAGCTCTTAATAGCCCAGAACCCTTCTGTTGTATTGCGAAAGCTATACAAAAGACTAGTATCAAATCATGGATGCAAACTAAATCTCAAGAATGGTGGAACAACTCGCCAGGAATGAGACAGGCAAAAGAGTTTATTAAAAAACCATCACCAACATTCACAGAATATCTACTAAGCCAGAAACGAAGTTCAACTAGAATACTAGTGGGACTTCTCACAGGGCATTGTAGGCTCAACAAACACATGAGTACGATAGGTCTGACTGAATAACTGCTGTGCAGGTTCTGTCAAGAAGAGGAAGAAACAGCAGTACACATACTTTGCCACTGTGTGGGCTTGTCAAGACTAAGGTTCCTTACGCTGGGTGAGGAAAAACCAGGAGCCCAGAGATACACAGGAGATCTGAAAGCTAGCCTATGGAGTCTCATAGAGAAGGCGGGGCTAGCCGAAGAACTCTAATCCATTTTGAGGGCAGACACAATAGATCTGAAAAGGTCGCAGTGTGGAGGCAGATAGCCCGAAGGCCCCATTTCAAATCTTTAGTGAATATGATTCAATAGATCATGTTTATTCAAGCCCAATGAGATCATGGAGAAAAACACATACAAAACGCAATTCAGTCGCAATCTAACATCAAAAACATAAAAAAAAACGGCCAACAAAAAAATCTTGGTGAAATTCCGACCAAATCGTTTCGAAGTGTTGAACTGAATTTGAGTTTCGAAAAAAAAGCTGATGACTGGGTTATTATACAGAGAAAGATACCAGTTACTCTTTCACGCTTAACTTCTCAACGCCCTGTTGTACAAGTGAGTGATTAAACTCAGCTTCATCATGTATTGGGTTGAAGTGTGATCCCTTATTGACAAAATGGTTTTTGATTTACGTCAATATCTTCTTTTATAGAGAATATACAAATGTTTTAATAGAGTATGGATTAACATCTATAGGAAACACATCGATGAGTTGATATCAATCGTTTCCTCCTCATTTTTTTTAGCCTTTCATCGTCAAAGAGATTAAGATTATCATTAGCGCAATTGTTACTTTTGGTAGACAGGCACAACTGACAGATCTTGACGACTGAGAAATATCGATCGAAGAAACTCTCATTTCTTCTGGGTCTCTGTGATTTACCAATAAGCGTTAGGTAGATGAGAATTACCGTGATTCGAAAGAAGGCATGTCAACTGATTCAGTTCAGTTTTAGTGAAGAATTTCAGTTGGTTCGAAATGAAAAGAAGAATCACTAACGATATCACAACATAGGTGGAGCGAAAGAATGTACCTAATGATATGTATACGCTCTGTATTCACTCACCTGTGCCCCGTTCTCTGTCACTGCATTCCGGATATTCGGAAATATACGGAGAATTTGAGCGAACATTCTGAAACAGAGGAAAATAGATGAGTTTTATATTCGTTGAAAAGGAAATTATTAATCTGGATTCATCCGGAGTCAGATGAGTTTGTCTACATGGTCACATACATAAACTACGAACTTGAATAAAGCGGACTACTGAAAAAAGATAATAAACGAACTAGAATCCAGTAGCTATAAAGTTATCTCTCGTGACGAAGTGGTTTCAATCAGCTGTGCCTTAGGGAACAATCTCCTGATGACATTCAGCATTCAAGAGATATATTGATTTGATATGTGAAACCATGCCTGCAAATTTAGTTATCATTTTCCTAGGTGTCACTACTATTAGTAGGAAAATAACATCTTCAAAGTTATCATAATAAGCCGGATCAATTCAATCGAATATTATGATCTTCGCGACTGAAAGTGTATTAAACTGACACTTATATAACACAGCCATATTTATAACGGATATATCATCTTTATACGGCCAAAAGGTTATTGTGCGTGATCATTGTCATTTAACAAATATATTTCAAGGAACGGCACATCAGGCTTGTGATTCGGATTACAGAAATTACTTATATTATTTGAGTCTTCTGTCCATCCTTTATTTGAGTATACCTACAGGTTCTTCTGAGATATGAAATAATGTCCTTCCTCTCTAAAAACATCAGATATCAGATATTCTGTGACGCTCTATTATTTGTATCGCTTGAAGCGCAAGAAAGGGAATAATAGAGATCAAACTTTACAGGGTGTCCCTAAAAGATATCTACAGAAACTTACTACATATTTATCAGACCAAAACATACAAGCAAATATACCTCAGTACAAAATTGCTTAGTTTTGGACGCCAGACGGTTCGAAGTTACAATTTTCAAAACATTTTTGCTTCGTAACTTCGAAACGGCTGATGAGATTCCACTCAAATTTGATAAGTGGTGATAGCATTATTGGGCAATACAACCCATATAATGATTTTTTTTTAATATCATTCCATGCTATACGCGGCATCGTGTGAAACTCTCTCCACTTCCTGCAAAATATGCGTTTTACAACTATTTCTTATGTAATATACGTTTTCCTACGACTACTATTGTGAGTGATGAATATTTTACACAAAACAATGGCAGTAAGCTTCTCCTTACGCACGTGTAGAAAAGAAGGGAAGAAACACTCCGAAACTGAAATTCCCATACGGGAGTGGCTGGTTGCCCGACTGGCGTGATTTCAACTACGACATAGCCACAATGCTCAAAATGGAATGAAGATTTCATTCTTCTTTTCTACTCAGATGGCGTTGCTTTCATATTGTCTATAACGGACGCCTCTGGGAAAATATAATGCCGACTTGATTTTTGTTAGGCTAGGCTACGCTAGTCGATGGTCTTAGGACTGCTGGCTGGAGACTGCCCTGCACTGATGAGAGTGAAAGAGCTGAAACCGGTCTGTAGGTGTCTAGCGTGGCCTGGCTAAATCGAAATCAATAGGCATTCTGGAAAGAATAACTTGTATCAGTATTCGTTTATACGAGTCGATACATAGATTTCGGGAGGATGTTATTCAATGTTCTGCGTTGAATTAGCCAGGAAAGTAGTTGTTTTTCTCTCGCAATCTACCACTGTTGTTTATTTCATGAACATTTCGTGGAAATGACTTCGAGCTTTTGTTTTTTGTTGAAGTTGTTATATGATACGAAAAACGGCTTCATTCAGTTCAAATTGGGGAAAATGGTTCGTTATGTAATTTACCAATAAACAAATACAAGAATTATTGTAGTTTGTACTTTTTCATGCAGTTAGCTCAAAGTGCCGGGAGACGTATTCGATATTTGTGTCTTAACACAACATCTATACTATCCTGAAGGAAGTATAGTGTAGTCGTAGAAAAAGTATAGTACATTTCTCGAGATGTAAAGCACTTGAGCGCTTATGAAGTTACACTCCCGCAGCTACCCTAGTGCTCTTTTGAATCTATTACTGCACTAGTGGGCGAATGAGATAAGAAATAAGTTTCGACCAAAATACTATTTCTACTCCATATCAACGATTTGTTGGAAGCAACTTAATTTCCAGCACACAGCTTTGCGGATAATAGTACCCTTCATACCGCCTTCTCTTCTAGGGCTCCAATACCAGCCAGGCAAATCAGAAACGAACGAGGGAGAAATGTTGACAACATAAATATGGACTTGGCAACAATTCTCGAATGGGGATCCAATAACCTGGTAGATTTCAATGCAAACAAAACACAAGCATGCCTTCTCTCTAGAAAATCCGATCTCACTGTGCCCAACATAGGCTTGTCAGGAGTGACCATACCTTCGAAGACATCCATTTCGATGCTTGATATTATTACTATCAGCAATAATCTTCCTTGGGAAAATCACGTGAGATCAATTGCTGAAAGTGCATCTCAAAAGCTTGGTTTTCTGTTCCGGGCCAGAAGCTATTTCACTTCCAGTCAGCTGCTTATGATCTATAAGGCACAGATCCCACCTGTCCTGGAATACTGTTTCCATATTTGGAGTGCAGCACCCAAACATACCCTGAAACTGTTGGATTCTGTCTAAAAAAGAGCAATTCGTCTCGTGGGTGATGCCTCGCTCACAAACTCACTCACTTTTCTGGAACACCGTAGAAAAGTTGGCGATGTGGCTCAATTTCGTAGATATTCTCATGGACGATGTTCTCCTGAAATATCAACAATAATTGTTCCTCCCTTGGCAGTCCCCGCGAGATTAACCCGTCGAGTTGAGGCTTCGCACCTCTTCGTGGTCACTTTGGAGACCTGCAGAACATCTTTTTCCAAAGACTCGTTCATCCAACGAACAGCAAGGCTCTGGAACACTTTGCCAAGGGAGGTGTTCCCCGAGGCATAAAATCTCCAGAAATTTAAGAAGAACACCAATTCCTAACTTATTTCCCTTGGTTCTCACGTTGTTCAACATTACAGGATATCCCATTTCGTGGGAACCAGAAAATACAAAAGCACGAAGCCGTAGGCATGCGTGCTTTAATGTCTATATCCTACTCGTCACGTAAATACCTATTACAACTCATGTTGTGTAATGTACTATTTTCTTGCAGGTGTCGCGCCCCGATAGCCAGCCTCGATTGCATGGAAGAGTTCAGCGCGGGCAGCGCCCTAAGCGCTTTGGCGGACCGACCGACAGGCGCGGGCGGGGGCGGCGATACGGGCGGCGGCGGGGCGGCCTCCAAGGAGCAACTGCTGCTGGGCGGGCTGGCGCAAGCGACACCCGCCGCCGCTGCCGCCCGTCAGCTGGCGCGCCAGACGTCCGGCACGCCAGGCCTGCGGTACAGGAACTTGGGCAAGAGCGGGTTGCGCGTATCCAACATCGGATTGGGTGAGTTCCTGAGCGCTCGAAAATGATCGGGCCACTACAATATTACATATTAATAGTTTATTTTCTGTAGTATATGTACAGTGTGTCCAGTTTTCGATGCTTTTGTCTGATATCTCAGTTATCTTTGGAGATAGAACCTTGCGGTTTTCGCGGTCCTGTGCCACTTTTTTGTGAAACTCAAGATGGCCTTATCAGATTTTGCAAGACTGTTTCCGTTTATGAGATACAGGGCGATTTTGAAAATTCATACTTTTTGGACCCCCTCTATATCCACGAAGTTTCTCAACAAAAATGTCAAATCAAAATCTTATCGCATAGAGAATTTCACGCATAATCCAGTGGCGCACTTAAAATTTTTTTTCGGGGTATGGTTTTGGAGATACGACTCAAACTTATGATTTTTTAAATGGAACACCCTGTATTTCATAAGCTCATTGAATTTCTTATTCTTTGTCTTCAAAATGATATGTAACGAATGAATATAAAATTTTCAAAATTGCTCAAAATCACTAAAATATTGAATTTTGATAGTTGGTTATGGATTTTTCTTATGAAAAACGTTCCAATTGAAGAAATATTTCTTTAAATTTTTTCATGGAGAGGTCAAAACCAGTATCAACACTTATTAATTAACAAAACACTAAACTTGGGTACCTGATAGCAACAAATAAATAGTAATAAAAATTTCATAATGATGATTAAATATTTACTAAAATAATTGAATTCCGGAATTATTCAGCAACTTATTCATTGACATGTTCAAATTGATATCCATTTTCCTCAACATACAGTTGACAAACTTTCTCAATACTTCTTAATACAGTGAGTGGCCCAACAAACTTGAAGAACTTTCTGCAACAACAGAGGCAGTGTTCCAGGAATTACAAAGACATCTTTCAATGATTAATATGTATTGAGAAAGTTTGTGATAAAAAATGGACATCAATTTGAACAATTCAATGAATAAATCACTGAATAATTTCGAAATTCAATTGTTTTAGTAAATATTCAATCAGGTGCTTATTCTACATTATAAACTTTTCATTGCTATATATTTGTGGATATCAGGTATCTAAGTCTTGTGTATTGCAAGTTAATTAGTGTTGAAATTGTTATTTCCCCCTTCATGGAACAATCAAAGGAAATATTCCTTCATTTGTAAATTTTTTTATATGAAAATCCCTCGAAAAACCCATAGCCTACTATTAAAATTCAATGTTTTAGTGATTTTCTAAGATTTTTGAAGATGTTATACTCGTACATCATATATCATTTCGAAGGAAAAAAAAATAAGGAATTTAATGAGCCTATAAAATACAGGGTGTTCAATTTAAAAAATCATAAGTTTGAGTCGTGCTTTCAAAACCACACACCGACAAAAACTTTTCTGTGCGCCACTGGATTTTGCATGAAATTCTCTATGGGTTAAGATTTCAATTTGACATTTTCGCTGATAATCTTCGTAGATATAGAGGGGGTCCAAAAAGTAAAAATTTTCAAAATCGGGGGGTCAAAATCAACATCGAAAACTGGACACACTGTACACTTACCGGCAAAAAAACCGGCCATCAAAAAACCAAGGCAAATTGTTCGCCCTGTAACTTCTTTGATTTTTGTCCGATTTTGTTGAAATTTTGAGCAAATCGTATTTTCATGTATCGGAATTTCAGCCTGAATATTAGGTCCTGAGAAAAGCTGATGGCTTGATCACTATACAGGGTAAAACAAAAGTTATTCTTATACCCGTAACTTCTTAACGCCCTGTGGAAAAGATGAGTGGTTGAACTTAGCTTCATCATCTTTTGGACTGAAGTATGATTCCTTTTCAACACAATGGTCTTTAATTTAATTTTCAAATTTCAAGAGAAGATACAAGTGTTTCAAAAAGGTATGGACATTTTTCATTTTTTGTATTAACAATAATTGAGAACCATTCTCCAACCTTCTGCTTGCTTCATCATGTTTTGAATTGAAGTGTGATCTTTTTCCGTCCTTTCTGAACACGATGGTTCTGGACTCACGTCAATATATTCTTTTTGAGAGAAGATACAACTGATTTAGGACTTATGGAGTTCTTTAATTTTTATTAACAATAATTCAGAACCTATAGAGCATCTCAGGGAGAATTTTGGGCAATTCTTCTAGACTACTTCAGAAATTTTACCAACTCGATGCTACGGCGGTTGAAAACTGTAATTCAAACTCGAGGGCATACTTGTTATTGACTACCTGTCTGCATTCTGTTTGTTTTTTGTAATTGAGGTTTTTTCTGGTGAGTGCTAAGAAAATTAGTGGAAATAAGTGATATTAATTCTTTGAGTTCTTAATCAATGAGTTTATGTAGGCTTTGATTATTGATAAAAGAAATTGAAAAATGCTATACTTTCTTCAAACACTCGTATCTTCTCTTGAAAATAAGATATTGACGTGAATCAAGAACGATCGGGTTGAGGAGGGATCACACACCAATCCAGAGCATAATGAAGCCAATTTCAACTATTCAATTTCGCCACACGGCGTTAAAAAGTGAAGGGTGAACTAGTAACTTGATTTTTTCTTTGTATACTGATCAAGTCATCAGCTTTTCACGGGAACTATTATTCTGGTTAACATTCTGAAACATGAATCTACAAATTATTCGAAATCGAAATCGAAAACAAGTTACAGGGAGAATAATTTCGGCATATCTATTATATATAGCCGTAGAAAAATTATAGTGTATAACTTGCACGGAATGCTAATTTCCTACTCGAATGATCGCAGCATTCGCCTATGGTTCATGCTGCAAACTCCATTCTCGTAGGGAATCACTATCATTCCGTGCTCGTTGAACAATATACTATCATTTTCTACAGTCTGTGCAAGCCTGACTACGAGGTTGCCGGAAATATGATCAAAAACAATTCGATCGAATATCATTTGATCGAGAATCAATTGATCGGAATATCAATTCATCGAATTATATTTTAATCGAACTCATAACATAAATAGTTATTTATTGTACAAGGGAAAAAGTAGTAGATTTTAGCTCGAGGTGAGTTGGAATCTAATATTTTTCCCGTATATAATTTCCTTTGTTTTTACTCTGACAGGAAGAAGGACGAATCAATATTTAGACGATATAACATTATATTAAAATGAAAAAATTGCAGGCATCTTGTTGGAGGCATCGTCATCCAACCAACCAATATTTCCCTCTCTGATTGTATATTAATTTCTATATCTCAGCAGTTTCAGAATCAATGTATTTTCCGTTCAATCTGAGTTCATACAGGTTAGGGAAATATAAGTTGTAATAGGAACCTTTAGTTCCTGTCTAGGTATGAGTGTCATGCAATACATTGCATCTGAATATTCTAGAATGTCAACATGTGAATCGTCTGTTACATAAAGGTTTGGTGAATCTTCCTAAGAATGATCGAAAATCATCTTAGAGTCTTTCAGACTGTTCGATTATTTAGAAGAATGAACTAGAATGTTCAGAATGTAAGAGAATCTTTCATGACATTCAGGAATACACTTCAATGTTTCAGAACTAAGAACTCACGGCGCAGGCAGGTCAATGCTGTCAATGAAAATCTTGCTGAAATCACAGCCTGGGGAACGAACAACCTAGTTGAATTCAACGCCACCAAAACTCAAGCCTGCATTTTCTCTAGAAAGGCGGAACTCAGTATGCCCGATATTGTAATGTCTGGCTCCACCATCCCCACCAAGCCCACCATATCTATGCTCGGTATTTCCATCAGCAACACTCTTTCATGGGATAATCATGTCAGATCCATCGCAAAAGCTTCACAAAAACTCGGATTCTTGTTCCGTGCGAAAAGCTACTTTACACCTCAACAGCTTCTCATGATCTACAAAGCGCAGATACGGCCTGTTCTAGAATACTGTTCCCACATATGGGGTTCAGCACCAAAACATACGCTGATGCTCTTAGATTCCATCCAGAGAAGAGCCATTCGCCTGGTGGGTGACACCACACTCACTCACTCTTTGACATCATTGGAACACCGTAGAAAGGTCGGCGACCTTTCACTTTTCTGTCGATACTTCCACGGGAAATGTTCTTCGGAAATCTCTGCAATCATCCCTTTACTAGCAATACCGATCAGACGAACTAGACAAGCCCAGTCAGCACATCCTTTCGTTGTCAACCTCGAAAGATGTCGAACAGCACTTTATCAAGACTCCTTCATCCATAGAACGGCTAGGCTCTGGAATTCATTGCCTGTGGAAGTATTCCCAACAACATATAATCTCCAAAAATTCAAAAAAAATTCCAATACCTACCTCCTGTCCCTATCCTCCCTAGGAACGCACGATGTTCTTTGAACATTATAGGGATTCCCTTTCGTGCGCTCCAATCGATTAAAAAAAAAAAAAAAAGAATGTTCGAGAATGTTCTAGAATGCATCAAAATGTTCCGTATTAGAAGATTAATTTTTCAATTCCCCTGTCAAATGACATCTCTGCACACATTTTTGGTGCCACCTATGGGATGATACGAGTATTATGATTCATTGAGATGGTATTGTATTGCAGGCACTTGGCCAACGTTCGGGCCGAATTTGACTGAGGAGCAAGCCGAACAAATCATCGTGTTGGCAGTAGAGAGCGGAATCAACGTTTTTGATTTGTCGGAAGCGCATTCGGGTGAGTTCGTTCTTAGTTCAATAAATCAATCAATCAATACTGTGCTTTATTATCCAAGAATGATATTTCTTATCGACAAAGCATGGTTTAAAATTATTCTAGTGGATTTCCACTGTGTCCAGAAGGAAGTAATATAATATATATGTATACATATATAAAAACAAATGAAGTGAACATTGTAAAAACATACGAAAAAATACAAATAGGTACATTATGTAAATTTGAACAAATACTATTAGAAAAAGTTGTGAAATCATAATAATCTTGCTGCAATACCTATACAGGGTGTTTCAAAAAAAACCTGACCCCCCTTGCTAGGGTAGGTAGATCACTGCAAAATA